CCGCGGCTCCCGCTGAGCCCTTGTGGGCCCGGCAGGGCGTCGTGTGCCCCCCTCGCCGAGCCTGGCTCCGCACCCCGCACGGCCCTGCCCTGGACCCGGGCGGGCAGACGGCGGGAAACCTGCCCCGCAGCCTCAGCTCACCCCGGACTCCTGCTCGCCGCCTGCAGCTCCGCTGTTCCGGGGAGAAGGGGCCACCCGCGGCCGTGCTCCGGGCTGGCGGCAGCACCACAGGCCGGCTCCAGCCTCCTCCTCGTTGTCAGCAAGGGCCGGTGCCACCCCTGCACTCCTCCTTGACTCCCAACAGCCACGTGTCCGAGCCCGGCATCTCCCGGGCCCGCGCCCCGAGGCTGCCCCGCACTGTTCTCGCATTGCCTGGCTCCAGACAGGACACGTGTTGCCCACTCTCCCAGCTGACCCCGCAGCATCCCGGGTCCTGCACATCCGCCCCACCCCTCCCCGAGACATTCCGAGCCAAGGGAAACAGCTGGCTCTAAATAGGACATACCCAGGCACGCAGGGCTGAGGCCTTCATGGTGGCACTGCTACTTTAGCTATGCAGGGCCAGGCTGGGCAGTGCTTGCTGCAGGGGAGAGCAGCCCCCAGTCTAGGCACTGCAGAGTGGGTGACTCAAAAGGAGGTGCTCATCCCCAGCCAGCGCTGACCTGTGTGGCACCAGGGGAGCACAATGCCACAAAGAGTGGAGATTGGGGCTCAGCCCACACCAACTCAGGCTCTTCTGAGGGAGCTGTAGTGGAGCATGGGCCTCAGCAGGTGGCATGCTCACCATGCTGGCCCCAGTGCACTGGGTTTTTTAGACCTCTAGGCCCTGTCCTCAATGGCAGGGGTTCATCCCAGGACCTAGGCCAGACTCCAGCCCATGACACTGGAGAAGTCCTTCCAAACACATGAGCAATGTTCAAAGCAAACGTAGACCTCAGGAGACAATGGCACCTCCCAAAGACTCTGCACCCTGACAGTCCTTCCCTTGCACCCAAAGGCACACTGGACTAAGGCAGGATCCAGAGCAATGGGACCCCACTGAGGTAACACCCTCAACCTCTGAACCTATGCCTGTCAGCAAGAGTAGTCTAGGCTGCCTGTTGGAGCTGGGCAGAGTCCTCCAGGGAGCATCTCACCCCACAGAGCTCAATGGGTCAGAGCAAGCCTCCCATGGCGGTTGTATGGCAAACTTTCATTTAGTCATCTCTTGCAGCAAGCACCCACTCAGCAGGCTGTGACTCCAGGGGAAACCCCAGGAAGAACATTAGTCTGCCACCACAGCTGCCAATTCATGTGAGTTTCCTTCTTGCCTTGGAAAAACAGACACTCATGCTACTGCTACACTCCCTCCCAGCAGGGGCTGCATTTTAACACCAGGTAGTTAGGGAGCAGGTTCATTTTGTAGAGACTCTGTCAGGCATGAAGGGAGCTTTGAGCCTAGGAAGAGCCTATAGGATGAGCAATATTTTTACAGCACAGCTGGGCATGAGAGACCACTTAACTATCTTTAATGCAGAAGGGTATGTGACCCAGGCTGGACTAGACTCTCTAGAGGGGAAAAGCCCCCTACAGCTTAGACTGAACCAATGAATCCTACATCAAGACACAGCAGCACTCAAGCGGTTATGGACCCATGGCAAGGCACATAACTCTTTAGCCTCTACAAAGCCCTATGTGGGGGGAGTGGAAGATGGAGGGCAGATATGCCCCAAACTGAAGTGCTCAGGAGCAACTGACAACTTCCTAACAGGCGCTGGGCAGCCAAGGGCTGATGCCTGAGTGAGGCAGGGTTTACTGCCAAATCTGCTGTGGCAGGAGGGTGTGTGCAAAACTGATTCGAGCCCCCATTCACCCCCAGCACAGCTCAAGGAATTCAGTCCCTGACAGCCCCAAGCCTGCCTCCCTGAAAAAGGGTGAAGCAGCCACCACACAGAACAGGGGAGGGGGCATCCCCATGCAATGCAAATCAAGGCACCCACGCTCCTTCCATTTTTTAATTCTGAGGTAAAGCACTTTGGTTTCTCTGTAACAGACACAGGGTCATTTCCCCTGGGCAGGGCTGTGCTGGGGGCATCTCCCACCAGCATCCCCCCCAGAGTGTTTTTAAGACATGTACAGCAGCATTTGACCCTATAGGGCCTGCCCAAACAGGTGGTCTCATTGCAGCAGACCACCCCCTGCCCCCCCATCTGTTTCTCAGTGCTTACCTAGCCTTCTCCTTACAACAGGAGAAGGGCTCTATTACTCCCAGCACCTGCTCAGGCCTGGCCTAAAGTGGAGGGGGGGGGAGTGACACTGGGCTCCTGCTGAAAGCCCAGACCCCTCCACAACTGCTCTCATTCCACAAGTCCCACTGAGCTAGGGGTGAGTGCTCCCTCTTGCTGTCAGGTGCTGGTGCCAATCCAGAGACAGGGAGAACAGAGGGGAAGCTCATGACAAGCTCCCTGTCCCAGGGGAAAGAAGTCAGTCCAAGTCCCATCCATGCTCTTCTCCACCAAGGCAGATACCCCTGCCAGCTGCCACCAGATGTCATTCCTCAGGCACCCCCGTTGCAGCTGCCATGGAGAGCAGAGGTGCCTGGAGCAGCCTCTTGTCTTTCAAGGGGCCAGTGGCAGGAAAGGTAGGCCTGTCACACAGTTTTGCTACATTGCCACAAAACAAGATACAAAAGGCTTGTGGCTTCTCTGTCTGTGCCCCAGCTACAGATAGAATCTACAGTGCCCAGCCCCTCCCACAAGGAAGTGAGTCAGGCAGGGGCTAGCCCAAGCAGGTGAGGAGTGCCAGGGTCATCAGCACCAGGAGGTCCAGGACACCAAGTGGGTCAAATGTGTCCCTGGCACCACTGACTGACTGCTTACATGCCTCACCCTCCCAGCCCAGGTAGCAGTGGCACTGAAAATGGGTCCGTAGGTAGGCAGTATCTGCTGAAGAGAATTCTCCATCCGCCCACAGCAGTGGCTCCTGCCCATCGGGCATCTCCCGGCGCTGGATGCGGAAGGTGGCAGGGTTGAGGTGCAAGAAGGCATTGGAGTTGCTGTCTTTGCGCAGGCAGCGCCCATGGCCATAGCACAGCTCCTGGCTGCAGTGCTGGGCGGCTGTGGTGACATTGACGATGTAGCGACCCAACTCCCCCTCCATGTAGGTCTTGATGCTCTGGCAGGCCTCCTGGGGAAGGAATGAGGTGTAAGAGCTCACCAAGGGCAGCCTGGGGGATGTATGGGGAAAAAATATACCCCTGGAGAGCGAGGGCCTAGTTGGGCAGCAGAAGCATACTCAGTCCCACAAACAAGTCTCAGCCCAGTCAGGAACCAGGCGCAGAGGCCCATAAGGACACACCCAGTTGTACCCACTGCTGGTGAGATTCCCTCCCTTGCTCAGGCTGCGGCAAGGTCTGCCACACCAGACTGACAACTATTGGCAGGGGACAACCACATGCCATCCTGGAGGCTTCTCCCCAGGGCAGAGCTCCAAGGCCAGGAGAGTGGCACCACAGGGCAGCATCCGGCCTGCAGAACCGCTGTGCCTGGTGAGGAGGCAGGAGGAGACCTAGGCACTAAGCATACACATGCATGCATGTTCAGGTCTGGCCCCTTTTTACTCGTAGGTGCTGGAGTCACAGATACCTGGAAGGGAATCCCTACACCTCCCAGAGCATGGTACTCTGGTCTGCTCTCCCCACCTCCAGTAATTCTACAGGGACAACTTCCTGGTGTGGCAGTAGAGGATGCCGAGGTAGCGCCCTGGACATATTCAGAACCGCAGTGCACCACAGAGGCTGGCTCTTCCTCCCATGCTCTGTACCAAGCGCCATTAACCCTTCCCTAGAGCTAAAAGGGGTGCTAAGCCTGGGCAGCTTCCACCATGGGAAAGAGGGTGGGAGGGAGAACTGGGGAAACTGAGACACGGATAAGCATCTTGCCTAGAGCCAAGGTGAGTCCATGTGGGAACCCCAGGGAGCTGCCTTGTAGTTCACCTGCTTGTCTCCACATCTCTCATACTGCTTCTCCTACAAGTGCCCCAGTACCCCAATTCCCAGGGGGCCATGGTAGGCATCAGCTGCCCTTACACAGACCTGCCTCACCCCCAAGAATGCTCAAGGGGCTGACGCTTAGAACAGACCAAGCAAGGAGCCCACTCCATGCACCCTGGGCTTGGGAGCCGTCAGAGCCCAGGCCAAAACAGCTGGCAGCATATTGCCTTCTCACAGCACAGGCTACAGGTGGATCAGACTGCCAAGGGCAGAAGAACTAGCTCTTCTCCCTTCACCCTCTGTAGCTGCTTGACCTCTGGGGCCATCCTCACATGGGCACTGCATCAGGGAACTTCTACCCACAGATCAGCCAGGCAGCCAGCAGGCATGCCAACTGGCTACACCAGCCCCTACCATGGCACCCTGATGCTAAGACCCTAGTGATACAGGCCAGGCATCCAGTACATAGATTTCATAGACATTAGGGCTGGAAGGGACCTTGGAAGATCAGAGTCCAGCCCCCTGCCCCAGGGGCAGGAAGTCAGCTAGGGTCAAAGGATCCCAGCAAATTAAGCATCCAAACATTTCTTAAAAGAGTGCAGAGTAGGTGCTTGCACCACCTCTGGAAAGAGTCTATTCCAGGCCTTGGGGGCTTGGACAGTAAAGAAGTTTTTCCTTATGTCCAGCCTAAGACTGTCTTGGAGGAGTTTGTGACCATTGGACCTTATCATCCCTTGGGGTGCTCTGGTGAACAGGCGTTCCCCCAGATCTTGATGTACACCTCTTATATACTTATAGGTTGCTACCAGGTTCCCTCTGGGCCTGCGCTTTTCCAGGCTGAAGAGTCCCATGGCTCTCAGCCTTTCTTCATAAGGCCTGTTCTCTGGCCCTCTGATCATGCATGTGGCTTCTCTCTGGACTCTCTCAAGCTTCTCCACATCCTTCTTGTATTGTAGAGCCCAGAATTGGATGCAGTACTCCAGCTGCAGCCTCACCAAGGCCAAGTACAGTGGGAGGATGACAACCTGAGATTTGCTTCTATGGATGCAAGCCAGAGTTTTGTTCGCTTTACCAGCTGCGATATCACATTGGTGGCTCATGTTCATCTTGTGGTCAGCCACGACCTCCAAGTCCCTTTCGGCTGTGGTGCTAGCGAGCGTAGCACCGCTGAGCCTATAAGCATGATGTGGGTGCCCACCCCCTGGTGGAGTACCTTGCATTTTTCCACAGCAATGACTTTGCTTGGCCCTGTCCTCAGTTGGCTTTCAGTTGATCATTTGTGCCAACACCTCCACATCCCATCAGCCCTTCATCCCAGCAGGATAAGACTCCTGAAGGGACCTCCCCAAACATGCTCAGAGCAGCTCAGGCTGGACCATGCCGTTGACAGCAGGAGGTAAGAGCCCAGTATGGGCAAAAACAACCCTGACCCATGGCATCCAACCACAGGCAGTTCCAAGTGGCAGGACACCAACAGCACTGCATCCCCTCATACTTACCCGGCTTCCTGTTTGGTCAGCATCACCCCAAAAGATGGTGCCAGCTGCCCCCAGGGCAGCGCTCTCCCCAACAGTGGAGACCAGGTCTACCTGCATGGGGAAAAACCAAGGCCACAGATTAGAGCCAAAACTATCAGCAAGGGGTAGTGGGCAACACAGGGGCAAAGAGTGGGCTCCTTGCTTAGTGTCCTCCAAGGTTCAGCTGGTGTAGCTCCCCTATCCAGACAGGTATATGGGCAGCCAATCCATCCTGAGGCCAAGAGAACTAGGCATAGGCCCACACAGGGACACCACAACCCTACAGCTGACCCTAAGAGAAGTACAGGCTCTGCTTCCAGTTACCAGTGCTTTCATTTCAGCCTCAGCTCTAAGACTTCCAGCTAAGCAGGGTCAGGCTAGGTCTGCACCTGGATGGGAGCTACCATCCATACTACTCATAGGCTTGGTTCTTTGGGTAGATGTGATGTTATCTTTTATTAGACTAGCTTGCAAAGAACTTTTTCCCAACTGTTTTAGTTTGTCTAATAAAAATATCACATCTACCCAAAGAACCTTGCCTGCCTATGTCCTTAGACCAGCACGGCTATAACCAATAAACCTGCATCCATACTACTGGCATCTCAGTAGGGGGCACCAGAGCCCCACGTGAGACTAGGAGGTGCCCTCTGACTGGAGGCCTTTTCTGCTCGGCAAGTTCACCTGCCCCCCAGGCAGGGGGTGCACCGCCACGCTCAGGGGGTGCAACACACACACACACACTGTGCCAGTGGGGCAGGGAAGGGGAGGGGAGAGGTAGGATAGGGTAGATTAGCAGCTGTTTCCACAGGCTTTGAGTCAGGTCTCTACCCCATTCTGCTGTTCACATTCCAGTCTGGGACAGCAGGTAGGTTCCTGTGCTGGACCCAGCTGTGGAAGCAGAGGAGGGGCTTCCCTGCTCAGTCACTCTGGGAACTGCCAAAGGGCTGGGAGGCAGCAGGA